TTTCACTACCTTCCCTCCTGCTTCCACTCCAAATTAAGCAAAGTTCAAATATTTACCATTCTAATATCTGGGACCCCAATCAAAGATGCACGCATTCATTCTCTCTCTCTTTTTTTTTTTTTTGGTGTGGCCCAAACTTTTTTTTTTAATTTTTATTAGTGAAACAGTATGAGGTACAGTTGTAGACTTACATATAGACTTACATATTTTTGTGCTTGGGTTTTAGTAATATAATGATCGAATATCCATCCCTCCACCAGTGCCCATTCTCTACCACCAATGATCCCAGTATCCCTCCCACCCCCCACCTCCCCATCCCACCCCATCTCTGTGGCAGGGCATTCCCTTTTGTTCATTCTTAACCATCAATAATGCTCAGCATATGAGAAACATAGTGAGTAGTCAAATAATGCTTCATTCATTCACCATTCATACATAGAAGGAACTCTTATAAAACCTACTATGTGCTGATCACCGGGAACACAAACATGAAAAAGGAAACAGTATTTCTTTCAAGAAACAGAGTCTGTTGGAGAAACAGAGAAGAAAATGTACCATTTAAATAGGAAATGAATAAGGAATAAAACTGGTTTCCTAAAATGTGATCTTTGGACTTATCCCCATTGATATTGTCAAGGAGCTTATAAAACTGCAGGATCTAACAGAATCTAAGGCCTCTTTGCAGCTTTATTCTTTCTACAAATCTGAATTTTAACAAGTTCATCAAGAGACTTGCAAGCTTAAAGTTTGAGAAGCGCTGGTCTAAAGCATAGTCTCTTCATTCAGAGGTCTACACACTATTTTATCATGCAAATGCAGAGATGCCAAAAGAAAGCATATCTGTCTGCACCCATGTCTAAGTTCCATAGGTTGTATCCTAGTCATTTAAATGAAAAAGAGCAAAGTGGGGGGTTGGTGAATTCACTTTCCTCCTTCAGCTGGAAGTGTTTGGGTTGTCTGTCCCTGAACCTCAGCTTTTCATTTGAAATGATAAAATACAACCATTTACTGGGCTGAGACAGTTACTAGAGAGATTATTTTGTTGGGCCAACATATTGTCAAGAGCTGGACAAAAACAGAGGGCCCTGGAGACACCAGAGAAAGTCACAGCCATGGGAACTGGGGCACTGGAAAACTGAGCTGAGAGGACAAGGTGGAACAGATGTGGGCGGAAGTCCTGGGTAAGGTAGACTTAGGACTTTAGAATAATCAGGTCTGGCTTTGATTTTTATCTCTGTGAGCTCATCGATTTTTTTTCTATGTCTTGTTAAAATTCATTCCTACATCTATAAAATCTAACAAAAGTTACCGTGTGAGGTGACTAAAAGATAAAATACTGGATGTGAAACACTTGGCTTATGTGGGTGGCTTAATAATAGCAGAAGCTGACATGAAAAGTGCTCACCATGTGCTGGGACTTTGCATGCTTTCATTCCGAGCAACAGTCCCGTAAAGTGGCTGCTCTTGGGTCATTCCCATTTTACAGTGGGGGAGATGAATAGGAAGCCACTTTCCGAATTACTGAGATATAGAAGTCAGATTCAAATGCAGGGATTCTGCTCTTGGTTCTCAGCCTGGTTCACACTTACTCTAGATGGGACCCCACAAAGATCACAGACCAAAGCAGGAGAGCAACTTTGTCAGGATTCCCGTCTGCCTTGCTAAGTAAGGGGCTGCTGTCCTGGCAAAGTTACCAAATCTAAGACTCAGATCTGGGGACCAGAGTGGTCGGCCCATTACCTGAACAGGAGCCTGAGGAGATGACAGCAGCAACTGTGACAGCATTACACACTGCATATGAGGCATCGAGAAGACCCACTTCTCTGCCTCTATCAAGGTCTCCTCTGAGGGGCTGGGGCTCAGGGACACTTCCTGATACAGGAGGAAGGTGAGAACCCCCCAGTTCAAATCTGACTAGTTCTCACTTTGCAACAAGTCTTCTTCCTCCCTTCTCCCCCCAACTCTTATCCCAGGAGGTAGGCAAAACTGTGACCATATAATAGCTGAGTGGGCATGGGATCAGGGGGCTGGCCACAGCTGTCAGCTTCTAGTGGCTTCCTTAAAACCACTGGATTGGCCTTCTTTCTTAGGAGATGCATGCTGGCTCATGTTGTTTCAGATATTTATTTGTAGATTTGATACATTTCTAAAAAAATTGCAGTCTCGAGTGGGCTGGAGTGATTTCTGGCTTCAGAAGTTTTACTGAGAGCACAAGTTTCTCATGAGACAATGCTCCTGAGTAGAAGCTATACAGAATCCCTGGTCACTCCTCACCAACACCATGGTCATGTGAATCGCTCACCTGACTCCTAATTTTCCCAGGTGAAAAGGAGGAAACAACAACAGTGTCAACTTGCAAGCTCTTATGAGATGAGAGGGATGAAATACTGCCCACTGTTCTGGGACTCAAAGAAACATTAGTAACCACCATTATTTCTGTGTATTTATTTGAGCTACTAGATCCACTTCTTTCATTCTCTAGGACCACTGAAAAGAAAATTTAGAGCTCCTCTTTGCCAAATGTTTGCCATGACAGCTCACTAATGGGATGCATTATAGTGTGTGTGTGTGTGTGTGTGTGTGTGTGTGTGTGTGTATGAGACAGACAGTCAGAGACAGAGACACAGAGAGAATTAGTGTTAGTGATGATTTATACTCAGGAACCTTTGTAGATTTTGCTTTCAACATAGATGAAAATTCTGACCTTAAAAGAAAAATAATAATAACCTCATCATAAATCCTCTAACGTAGGAGAAATCATTCCAAAGCAGACTTTTGGGAGCATTTTTAAGTACCTAGTAGCCATCACACAACCATCTCACCATGCGAAATTCACTTAGCAGTAAGCATTTTCCAAAGTGGTCAGGAGCAGAATACAAAGTAGAGTAAATTGGACCACTGAGTTGTCCTACAAGTCCTACATATTACAAGTATGTAAATCATGTGACTATCAGAGTTCATAGCTCCATAGCCCTTTAAATTCCTTTGGGAAAGGACTTTGCAAAAGTTCCAGAAAATACCTCTGAGGCCAAAAAAAAAAAAAATTTTTTTACTTCTACACTGGGCTTATTTCCCACCCCAAATATTTGCTGACTATAAAGTCTCATTAATTAACATAACCAAGACTCTTAAACTGGATCCAAGGAGAAGAAAGGGTGGAATCACTGTTTTTAGAGCATCATTTTGAGAGAGGAAGTAGAATGCTGTCAACAAAGCCAAAGGCAACTGGAGACATCAGCCAATCTGCAAAGCAGCAACTTCAGAGGACTGAATTCCAACTATGATACCTACTCTCTGACCCTTGAGAGCAAAACCTCTCACTGTCGCCCAGAACCCAGCTCTTGGAGAAGGCTCTCTCCATTCAGAGAACCAGGTCTCTCCCAGTTCTCAGCAAGGACTTGACACCCAGTTATAAAAGTCTGCCTTCCCACCAAAGTACTTCCCCTGAGAGGAAGATTAATCACTCCTTCCATCACTGATGTAAGTCTGAGAGCCTCTGTGCTGTTTCTTGGGGAAGCAAAACCCTCACTCAATTGCTTAAACCCTAAGAAACTGGCATGTGTTGATTCCTGTGAGCACCCTGGTGTGTGCCTGGTCATTGCTTTGAACACTAGACTGTCAGGAGATCACTGCTGTTTAACTTTTGTCCACGTATATGTTCAAAGCAAGAGTTTAATAACTCGACCTGAAATTCACTCCCCCCACTTTTAAATGTTTCAGCACTGTTTGCAAAGCCTGGGGCAGAGCACAAAAAAGTCTAACCTAGAACTTCAGGTAATGTCTGACTTTATTTTTCATCCTCTGTTCTCAAAGGCAATGGTTACCTTCTTTTTAACTTTGTCAATCTGCAGTCTACCTCAGCTTCTCCCAACAGCCTCTAGGTAAGGGTAGGAACCTTCATTTCAATATAAAAGGGAGGGCTTGGGGCTAGGGGATGGTTTATCAGGCCTTCATCGATGAGCAAAAGCAAGATTTTCCCCAGCAACTATGAAAAAGGCATTTCAAATCTTTCATTTTGTTCCCTTGCTCCTCTTGACTCTAGCCCACTCACAGGGTACTGGCCTGGCTGTGCTCCCCAATTGCACAGGTTTTAGATCTTAAATACCTGCGAACTCTTTCTGGATCAAATGGCACTTGCGTACTTCCTGGAACTCAGCACAAACATATGAGAACCCCTATGAGGGGGCGGGGGCGCGCGCACTCACACTCACACACACAGAGCAAGCAAGCTAGAGCGACAGAGGGCCGGGTGGGGGTGCACAGGCTTGAAGTGCCTTCTTTTTTAACCCTAAGGAAGAGAATGTACAGCAGCCAGGCCCTCCAGCCACAGCAGTTAAACCTTGGGCATCCTCCATCAAATTTAGTTTGGTCTGAATCCGCCCCGGGCACATCAGGTCCTGAAAGCAGCTCCATTTGTGGCCCTGGGTTTCTCAGGACCTGACTGCCCAGGAGAGTGTCAGGGAAGGACAGGGCAGGCGATCTGAGCTTCCTCTTTGAGCTCTCTCTCTCTCTCTCTCTCTCTCTCTCTCTCTCTCTCTCTCTCTCTCGATTGAGGGGGCACACTGCTCAGGGCAAGGCTCGGGTGGGGGGGTGCGGGGACGGGTGGACCAATATGGGATGCTGGAGATCTAACCCAGGTCAGCCGCGTGCAAAGCAAGTGCGATCCCGGCTATAGCACCCCTCCAGCCCCCTCTCATTTTATCTAAAGCCGAGCTGTGCGGCTCTCTCTCTGTGAGCACCCCCAGAAGAGAGTGTCCTCAACTTGCACTCATCTGATTCCATGGAGACATAAAGGGAAGTGCACGGTCCCGCGAGGTGCATGCCGCCTGTGCAGCTCTGGGAGGGAGTTAGTTCTGCAGCTCCAGGCGTGATCAGCAAAGAGTGAAGTCTAGAAGGGGGCGCAAAGGAAGCCGGGCGGGTACTTCCCCGGGGACAGCAGCGCGGGGCCAGCCTCCGGGGGCGGCGGGTGGGGGCTGAGGGCGCGCGGCGAGGCCACCCACCTCTTGATGTAGCTGCTGAGGCGGTAGGACTGGCCGTCGAGGCGCACGAGGCCGTCGCTGAAGACGTTGAAGCCCCCGCTGGCCGCCGTGGGCTCCCGGAGCCCGGGCACCACGAGCTGGTCGCCCCGCAGCTGGAAGGCGCCGGGCTGCAGGCGCAGCAGCTGCGCCAGCGGCAGGAGCCCCAGCTCGCAGTCGCAGGTCCACAGGCTGCGCAGCTCCCCCGACGAGATGGAGGCGAGGCTGGGCCTGGCGGGCGGCGCGCTCGCCGTCGTGGCCATGGTCCCCGCGGGCCAGGCCGGCTGGGCGCGGAGAAAAGCGGCCCCGCGCCGCGCGGCCCTTTTATGCGCCCTGGGAGCGGCGCCCGCCGCGGCCCCGCCCGGCCTGCGGGCACGACCCGGGCCGAGCCTCGGCTCCGCGCACTTGGCACGCTCGGCCCCGCCGCGCCGCCCGCCCGCCCGCACGCAGCCGCCAAGGGTTACTCACCCCCGTCGGGACCGTCCTCCGCCCGGCCCGCCCGCCCGCCTCTGCCTGGCCAGCGCAGCCGGGGCGGAGAGGAGAGTCCGCCCCAGGGGGCCGGGGCTGGGCGCAGCGCCCCGGAGGCTTCCCGGGGCACCCGCCGCAGACCCGTCACCCACTGCCGGGAGGCGCCTTTCTCTTGCCCTTCGTCGTCTGCCTGGGATGCAGGGCCTCTGAGATCTCCGACTAAGCTGGACGCCCTTCCCCGCCCGTGTGCCTCAGTCACCCTTTTCGTTTTTCAGCTCCAAAGTATGCCCTGCCTTTCCCTTCCCTCAGAACTTCTCCTGGACTCCGTTCCACGCAAACGTGTGTTTCCGTTTCGCAGAACCGTGCGTGCATCCCGTGGGTCCCTCTCCTGCAGAGAGCACAGGCCGCAGCGTTCAGAGCAGTGGGGACCCGAAGCCCTCTCAGGCCTCCTCCTCCCCTGCTCCCCAGCAGGTGAGCGCCCCAGGCCCCAGTGTGTGTGTTTGTTCTGCCACGCAGACATCAGAGGAGGACACTCCTCGATTTGAAAGGACCGAAGGACCATTTCCTTCTCCTGCAACCCTGGATGTTTCCCATCTAACAGACGGGCTGGATTCTGAGAAGCCGCCGCGGGGCTGCCTAGCATAGCAACAGCTAGGAGGTACTCAAAGATAAGCTCTGACAGGCCAAACCCGGCTTTCGGGAAGAATGCTGCCAGGTTTAGAGTCCAGGCAGACACTTCCTGGAATGCTGTGATTATGGACTTTAGTTGAACCCCAATTTTGGCCTGAAAGAGGATTAAAAATTAGAGGATATTTTTCATTTGTGATTATGTTTCCACCATGCACCCAGGGCTTAGATCTATGCAGGTCTTAAAGAATGCTGACATTTCACTTTTAAATCACAGGCTATAAATAACTTCCATTTATAAATCCCATCCCCACCCGAACCCCTCCCAACACACACACACACACACACACACACACACACACACACACACACACACGGGTCCCTTTGCCCCAGGATCCATGTTCATTGCTGAGTCTCTCTGAACAAATCAAATTTACACAGTCTGCACTGATCCCTAATGAATCTAAAGAAAGCACTTAGCTGGGTTGAAGTAGTTGGAGCAAACACGGGGTTAATCATAGAGATCTACTAATCCTTAGCCCAAACACAGAGATGGGAGCAAGAGAAGTAGATGAAAAGATCTAGCTAATAAGTGAAAGGGCAGGAAGTTGCAGGCGATCCTTTTTTCTTTTATTTCTGCAAATGTTATGTTACACATCTCCTATGATTCAGAGCCAAGTTGCTAGAGATTCAGTGGTGAGTTCAGGTGATTCTTCCCTCAAGCAGTGCCAGGAATATAGGGTGGGTGCAGTTGCCTGGCACCATGGCCAGACTTGTTCCTGGAATCTAGTTCTATTTTGTCTATAGCATATCTTTGATCTACTGATAGGACATGCTCATTTTTTTTTCTTTTTGGGTCATACCTGGCGATGCAAAGTGGTTACCCCTGGCTCATACACTAAGGAATTACCCCTGGTGGTGCTCAAGGGACCATATGGGATGCTGGGAATCGAACCTGGGTTGGCCACGTGCAAGGCAAATGCCCTACCCGCTGTGCTATTGCTCCAGCCCCAGACATGCGCTTAACAATCATAAAAGTTCTTTTCACACTGAGAAAGTTCAAGAGCAGGTTTAACGTGGATCTTCTGGGAGTCAGAGAGATTGCTCCAAGGGTCCAGGTGCAATTCCCAGCACCACATGGTTCCCTGAGCACCTCCTGGTCCCCTGAGTTCTTCTAGGAGAGATCATGCAGGACATAGATCTCAAGCACTGCAGACTTTGCCCTTCCCTGCCACAAATAGAACCCAATGCAGTTCCTCATCCAGCCTCATCAGCCCCATGTAGACCAAGTTCAGTGTGTGTGTGTGGATAGTCCTTAAACCTCTGTGCCTACATATACCTTGGATTTTTGAAGGATGGAATGTAAAATAAGAGAATTTTGAGGGCCAGAGGGAGTACAGCAGATATGGAGCTTGATTTGCACTTGGCTGGCCCTGATTCGGTTGTTTGCACAGTTTATGATTCCCAAGCACCCCCAGAAGTGATCCCTAACACAGAGCCAAAAGCAAGCCCTGAGCACCAAGGAGTGTAATCCCAATGTCCACCCCCTCCCTCCAAAAAACTCAGAATTTTTATACAATCAATAAAGATAGATGTAGTAGTTTCTTCTTTCTGTTAAGGAAACAGACTTTCTGTTTTCTTGACAGCACAATAGCAGCATTTATTATCTGTATAGATGAATACGATTTTTTTTGCTTCTCCATAGTTCTCTGATCTTACCATTTTTCTGTAGTTTCCAAATAAATGTATTTTCTTTTGCATAGAAAGATGATGTCAAGAATCATAAAAATGTTTCAAAGATGAATTCTTGGGATATTATCTAGAGGTTTCATTTGATGCAGTTCCAGTAAAACACCTGCATTTCTTTATAGATAATTTATGCACCAGCAAGATACCAGAGAAAGATGTGGAAAAGTGAATGGAAAGAACACAATTCACTGTAATGTTAACCATTGCTAATCAGTGGAGAGCTATAGAGACTGGTTCATGTTTAGTTCCTCTTTCATTACCAAAGTACCAACCAGCAGACATAATCACCAGTAGTGGAGATATTTTTAGTTTTCAAAAAATCTTGTTGGTGTATTTATGCAGTTCTATTCATATTTCAAAGGCATTTCATTTCATCCTGCATTTCTTATTTAATTCTATATATACACATATCAAATTTCCAAAAACTGATATTATAAGCTTCTGTTATTTTTCATCAAGCACATATACAATTTCTTTATTCTTGATGTATTATCTCATGTATGTAAACAATACTGCAATGAACATCTTTGTGCATTAGTTTTATTCTGTATCCAAACTCTTGGAAATTGAATTAAGACAAGCAACACCACATCAATTAAGATTTTTGACATATATACCACTACTTTCCAAAAGAATTTCACCAAATTGTCATCTCATTAGAGCAAATTCTCGTGGATTTAAATCATTGGTACTAGAGCATGGTACCTCATTGGCTATTTACATTGATAGTCCATCGATTACAAACACAAGAATTCAATTAACTTTGATGGTACCATTCAGATTTAAATTTAAGACTGTTTCTAGGAGAACAAAAACAAAATAAAAAATGATGTTTCTGTGGGTTTGTATCATTTGCAGTTAAAGCAGGACAAGATGAAGTTTTTCAGTCTCCATGTGTCTTCACTGGAGTCACTGGCTCTGTGACCAATGTAGAGGGACAGGCCCAGTTTCTCAGCTTGATGTCTCCAAAGTCGGCCAGAGTCAGACATCCAGACTTATATTAACCCAACTGACAATAGACTGATGCAGTAACTTTTCACCCTCACCTCCACTCTTGGGCTTCCTGTTAATATAAAATTTCTATAGATTGTTCTCCCTCTTAAACAAAAATGAAATGGGGGTCAGGTGGAGACTTAGGATCACACCCATCCATATTTGGGTGCTTTTTCTGGCTCAGTGCTTGGCAATAAACCCAGCAGTACTGGTGTGGTGGGGGTGGGGGTGGGGTGGTGTACCATCCTGTGCCAGAAATTGACGCAGGTCAACATTCTGCACTCGGGCAGTTAAAATATTTCCTACTTCACAATTTTTTTTTATTAATTGCAAACCAAGCTCCCAGAAGAGAACAATGCAGAATCTCCTGCCCCCGCACCTGGCTGTCCTCACCGGGGCCCCTTGGAGGAGGGGGCAGTTTGAGTTTCCCTCACCACACCAAGCATAACCCCGGCAGCTGAAGACCTCTGGAACCAGCCACAGCCATGCTTAAGACCACTCTCCACACACTCGGAACACGCCTCATGCTAGAAGGAACTGGCAGAGGAACCCAGGTGTGCGGGACCCGGGCCTGAGATCTCCAAGGCTGCTTGGATCGGGACTGGGCCTCCTCCACCTAGATCCTCCATCTTCCAGTAGCTAGGCATTACACTCACCAACTGCCCCCAGCGCCATGTAATCCCATCAACAGCCAAGACCCAGAGACTATAAGACTAAGCTCCCGGAAGCGCTGATGCACCCGAGCAACTTCTTACTGTCTAGTTCTCACTCTCAGAGAATCCGGCAGGCTACCGAGAGTATCCTGCCTGCATGGCAGAGTCTGGCAAGCTCCCCGTGGCGTTTTCAATATGCCAAAAACCCAGTAACAATGATGGGTCTCATTCCCCTGACCCTGAAAGAGCCTCCAATGTGGCACTTGCTAAAATCTCAGGGCTAGGATGAATGGAGACATTACTGGTGCCTGCTCGAGGAAATTGATGAACAACGGGATGGAAGTGATACAGTGATACAGTGAATTGCAGACATTTTGACATGACACTTCTTGTTTGAGCTACTTCCCATCTTCTCCTCTCCATGGTCAAAGTCCCTGTAAGAATCATCTGAATTCATTGCCTACCTTTCATTGTTCGGGATTTTTAGACCTGACTTCTGTTCTATCACACTGCTAAAATAACCTTACCTTATGCCTAGGCACTTCTGTTAGCCAAATGTCACGTGTATCTTTCTTCTTTTTTTAAAACCTTATTTTGGAAGAAGCAACACCTGGTTATACTCAGGGATTACTCCTGGCTATGAGCTTAAGGTTCATTCCTGGTGAGGCTTGGAAGGACATATGAGGTGCCAGGGATGGAATCTGGGCCAGCTGCATGCAGAGCAAGTACCTACCTATTGTGCTATCTCTCTAATCCCAACCTGCACTTTCTTATG